AGAATAATTTAAAATCAAGTATTATAGACTGGTGTACTAGCTACTCAATGAGTGATAAATCTTATTATTTTTACAGCTTTCTAATTATTTTTAGCAAGTAATTGTTCACCACCCCATATTAGTTTATGCTTTTATAAGAGCTTATTGGTAATCATCTTCTTATTTTTTTTCTTTTAATTTATATAAGACTAATACATTCAGAGTTCTCCTACTGGAAGTACTTTTTTATGTCAGAGATCCTGATCACCTTCAATTCCTTTCTAGAAATGTTTCAAGTTCCCAATTCTTATTATACATCTTAAATGGTCATACTTCTCTAGAAAGAGATTTTATTCAGCACATTTCTTCCTTTACAGAGAGAATATCACTTTCTGGCCTTTTGCCCAATTTATCTACATGCCTGTTCTCTATACAGAGCTTCTTTTCACCACAGTCACTGTAATGATGTCCTTCAAAGCCCTGAGTACCAGTGTGAGAGCCAGGGAACTCTGGGAACCAGATCCAGTACTTCTGATTGAGCCCTTGTAGCATAGCTGCAGTGGCATGCCACTTTTAATTGCTTTTGAAATCCTTTGTGCCAGTTTAAAGTGCCCTTCTCTTGTCTCCCAGTGCTTCTATGCTTCTGAACACTCATGATCCCTAATTCTTTCCTTTTTAAACAACTAATCTGTGGCTAAAGTGTATTCTGGATTAGAGCCATGTTTTGTTTTGATAACAGAATCTTGCAGTCTCCTGCTTTTTGATTTTGAAAACAGTGGTGTGTGTGTGTGTGTGTGTGTGTGTGTGTGTGTGTGTGTGCGTGTGTGTGTGTGTGTGTGTGTGGCATTGGTATTGGGTCTCAAGATGTCACTTGGCCCTCTGCCAGTGGGACCATAACTCCATCTCTGTTTTGGTTTTGCTGTTTTGTTTTATTTTAAATTTTTGGGAGTCTCACTGACTTTTCTGCCTGGTCTGGGTTCCAATCAAGATCTTCTGGATCTTGGCTTCTCAAGTATTAAGGATTAGAGATTTGAGCCACTGGCACCCAACAACCTAGAACACTGCTGCATAAAAATGTGCAGATTATAACATGGGAAGCAATGTTCATGACAAGTTCAGAATCACCATAAGCACATGTGAGCCATTCCTGAGTAAAAAATGTGTATCATGATATAGGACATCTATTTGACTATTTAAAAGTTGACAATTTCCTCCACCACAAATGTTCTTTTTCATATTAGGCTCATTTCCACTACATTTTTATTATCACCTGGGAGATTTCTCAGGCATGAAGAGCTAATCTCTGAAACCATCTTAAGCACAGAGTGATAGACAGTGTAATAGTTCACAATGTTGCCATGTTTCCATTCCTAGAAGTAATCCTTTGCCCAGGCTAGCCTCAATCAAAGATTCTTCCAATTTCTGCCACCTCAGTGGCTGGGGTTGCAAACATGAGCCCCTGTGGTCAACCTATAAATCTGTGTTTTACGATGTTTAATATGTTAAATTTGTGCTTATTTATTACAGTGGCCATGTAAATAAAATATACACAATTACTGTCCTCTTACACAAAGATAAAAAGATAAGCTGTGGAAATTTATTATTCATGGGTTTCAAAGGGGAAGGATAAGATGAAGACAAAATTTAGAACAATCAATATCGAGTGTTACTAGTTTCTCATATTTTACCACATTCTAATATCTTTTTTGTAATGCTGAAAACACAAACTATGCTTAGAGATCAGTGATGGAGCTCTTTTACCATTTGTGAATCAAATAAAATTATAATGTGTGATGGTAGATAGAAAAGTCCCTGCTCCTCTTCCAGAAAATAAAAAGATAATCGTAATATAAAATAATCATTTATAACATCTAGTTATGTTACAAAGTATTACAACATAAGGGAAAATGGTTTCTTATTCATTGCAGTTTTATATATTTTCATCAAAGTTATTTGTTCAGATGACCCTTTTTAAGAGAAAGAAGTTGGCTAGTGAGGAATATTACCACAATCTCATAGAAAATGAGACATTTAATCTTGTTGTGAATCTCAAGTGGTTGCCGCTTTATTTTTTCAAAAGACTCAGAATTGGGGGCTGGGAAGTTGGCTCAGTGGTAGAGTGCTTGCCTCACATGCAGGAGACCCTGGGCTTGATGCCACAACATCATATAAGCAGACAAAAGCTGGAAGTGGCCCTGCTGTGGCTCAAGTAGTAGGGTGCTAGCCTTGAGCTGAAGAGCTGAGGGACAGCACCCAGGCCCAAAGTCCCCACAACTGACAAAAAAAAAAGACTTAGAATTACTCTGGGAATTTGAATGCCACATTACTTAAATTTCATTCTTTCCAATCAGGACCATGGACAGAAATAAACAGATTAAAATGTTTGATTTGGCCAGTCTACACTACTATTTTAAAGCAATACAAGTGTATTTTAGATATGAGACCCTTATCTATTGTATGGCTAGTGAAGATCTTCTCCCAATCTGTGGGCTTTCTATTGATCTTGCTAGCTATATCTTTTGCCATGCAGAAGCTCTGCAGCTTCATGCAATCCCATTTGTCCAAACTTTGTTTGATTTGTCGTGTTTCTGGGTATCTATTAAGAAAATTTTGGCCTGTGCCAAGGAGCCCTAGACTTTCTCCTATTCCTTCCTGTAATGTTTTCGGGGTGTCTGTTTTGACCCTGAGGTATTTTGATCCATTTGGAGTTGATTCTGGTGCAGGGTGATATATAAGGAACTAGCTCTAGTTTTCTACAGGTGATTAACCAATCTTTCTAGCACCATTTACTGAAGAGGCTGTCTTTCTTCCATTCTATTTTTAAGCTCCTTTATTGAATATTAGGTTGGTTTATTTCTGAGTTTTAAATTCTGCATTGGTCCTCAGGTCTATCTTGTGCCAGTACCAAGCTGTTATAATTAGTATGGTCTTTGTAAATAAGTTTTTTATTGTGAAAATACTGTACAGAGGGGTTACAGTTACATGAGCAAGGTAATGAGTACATTTCTTTTCAAGCATTGTTGCCTCCTCCTTTGTTTTTCACCTTCCATCCCTTCCCTCCCACTTCCACAACTACTTACTATGGCTTTGTAGTAGAATTTGAAATTTGGTATTGATATTCCTCCAGTACTATTCTGAAATCTCCAAACAACAAATCATCAAAGAAACAACTGCCCAATAAATAAATGGGCTAAAGACTTAAAGAGAAACTTCTCTGAAGAGGAAATAAGGATGGCCAATAGACACATGAAGAAATGCTCAACCACTCTAGCTATAAAAGAAATGCAAATCAAAACAACATTGAGATTCCACCTCACCTCAATTACAATAGCTATAATCAAGAACTCTAATAAGAACAGATGCTGGAGGGGATGTGGACAGAAGGGAACCTTACTGCATTGTTGCTTGGAGTGTAAACTTATTCAACCACTTTGGAAAGCAGTATGGAGGTTCCTCAAAAGATTCCACATAATCCGACTTTTGGGCATTTACCCAAATGATCACAAACAAGTCCATATTAATGCTACCAGCACAACTAAGTTTATTGCAGCCTTATTTACCATATGGAACCAATCCAGATGCTCCTCAGTAGATGAAAATGTGGTATATATACACAATGGAATTCTATGCCTCCATCAGAAAGAATGACATTGCCCCATTTGTTAGGAAATGGAAAGGCTTGGAAAAATTATAATAAGTGAAGTAAGCCAGGCCCAAAGAAACATAGGTGCCATGGTTTCCCTTATTTGCAGTAACTAGTATATGTCTGGGACAAGCAGAAAAGTTCTTATCTGAACAGATAAGATGATTTTAGCAAAATGAACCCCACGATGGGGACACAAGTGTTTTATTTTTTCTTTCTTGCTATTGTTTCTAACGTATTTATAATGTACCATGTGATATTTTTGTTTCTTTGTACATTCCCCCTGTTTTCACTGTATTTGATGTCGGTGCCCTGCATCTTGCATATACACTTCTCTAATTTGGGGAGGGGCAGGTAAAAAACAAAATGCTTAAATAGAGATACAGGTTGACCCATTGTAACAATGAGATGTACAAGACACTATGTTGAAAAAAGGAACTTTACAAGTTAGGCAAGGGTGGGAGGAGGGGAGTGTAGCTGTGGAAGTGGGAGGGAGGGAAGGGATGATAGGAGAAAAAGAAAGAAGGAGGCAACAATGCTTGATAGGAAATGTACTCGTTACCTTGCTCATATAACTGTAACCCCTCTGTACAGTGTTTTTACAATAAAACTGTATTAAAATAAATAAATAAATAAATAAGTGAATAAATAAATAAAGCAGTACAGTGGTTTCCCTGGGAAAACCAGTGTTTCAGATCCTGTTACCTACCTCTAATCATGTTGTGTTGCTACTTTTTTTTTTCTAATGCTGGGGCTTGAACTCAGGGACTGGACATTGTCCCTGAGCCTCTTCTTGCTCTACCACTTGAGCCACCAGTGCCACTTCTACCTTTTTCTGAGTAGTTTATTAGAGTTAACTGTGTCATGGCTTTTCCTGCCTGGGCTGGCTTTGAACTGCAAACCTCAGATCTCAGCCTCCTGAGTAGCTAGGATTATAGGCATGAGCCACCAGCACCCAGCTTGTCTTGCTACATTTTGATTGAGAAGTTTTAATGAGCCCTGTGGAATTAATCAAGTCACCTGCCTCCACTTTTCAAAAGGATGGTGAGACAAATTCTATCAGTTAACTCGACTATGAAACATATTTATTGTCCTTTATACAGTTCATAAAGCACATGAATGAAAACTTCAAAGTCTGAAACATTTTTATTTCAAAGGAGAGATGCTTCTAGCAGTTTCCTATGAAATATGGTTGGTACAGTGATGCGTGTTGTAATGGTGAAGATGAGATAGGAATTGAGGCATATTATATAAGGAGACTTTTCCTTATTTTAAGAATAACAAGGCAATTTCTGTTACTTTACACTATTCTCAAAGAGAATTTATAGCATTTCTGCGTGGGGGGAAAGAAAAACTACTGGTTGTTTTTATATTGCAGAGAATGTTGGACTGGATTCTGAAATTGCTAAAGCGAATACCCTGGGTTTTGTTGGATGCCTTTCTTCAGTTCAATACAATCACATAGCACCATTAAAGGCAGCCCTGCGGCATACCACCATAGCACCCGTGACTGTGCAGGGGACCTTGACAGAATCCAGCTGTGGTGCCATGGTGGACTCAGATGTGAACGCAGTGACCACTGTGCACTCCTCCTCAGGTACCTCCCAGATACTTCCCAATAGATCTTTCCTCACTGGCACTACTTCTAGTATCGACCATAAGAACCTTTCACATTAAAGGGTTGGCTTATCATTGTTCAGTTTCTTGCCTGACATGATTACATGGAGGTTACAACTTATGATTGGCTATTCTGGGGGTAATTCTTGTATGTTTACTGAAATCTTAATTTTCAAGTGATGACCAATTAGATCTGAATGCCTAATAGTTACATCTATTGAAAATTATATACATATACATAGTATGCTTATGCATGTTTGTATATAGTCACTGTTGCTTAAGCAGATTGTGTGCAAATAAAGTATTGAGGGATAAAGGAGGCAGGAAACTGTGGTCTGAACTATTATTACTATTTATATTATTTAAAATTAACAAGAATTTCCAGATTTACTGATGAACAAAAGAATTGTGTGATGTGTCTGTTGATCATACTTGAAATCCTTGAAGTCATACTTCCTAAATCCTACTTAGGAATATGCAGCCAGAGAATAATGGTTTGAGTAATCCAGTTGAAAGAAAAATCCAAAAGATTCTATTTCCAAAATAATCAGGAGAAAAAAAATCAGGGCTACTAGTGATGTGTCTCAAGAGATGGAGTTCTAGCACAGTAAGCAATGCTAGCCAGGTAAAGTTCTTGGGTTAAAACAGCTATACCATCTAAATAAGTAAGTAAATAAATATTGTAATGGGGCTGGGAAGGTGACTCAGTGGTAGAGAGCTTGCCTTGCATGCATGAAGGCCCTGGGTTCGATTCCTCAGCACCACATAAGCAGAAAAAAAAAGTCAGAAGTGGCACTGTGGCTCAAGTGGTAGAGTGCTAGCCTTGAGCTGAAGAGCTGAAGGACAGCACACAGGCCAAGAGTTCAGGCCCCATGACTGGACCTTAAATAAATAAATAAATAAATATTGAAATGGATCCAATGGTAGAACTCAAGTTATACAAGGTGATGATTTGGTATATGTATTGTGTGATTGTTTAAATTATGTTATGACCACAGTTTTTACATCTTATGAGCAAAAGAACACCTGGCTGTTCTAATCATCTTTATACTTGTATTTTGTGAGTTCTGCAATTTTAGATTCCACATATTAGTGACACTATGCATTTTTTTCTTTGTGTATTTGGGTTAATCTAGGTGGCATAATGTCCTCTAGCTTCATCCATGATAATTCAAATTGAGTAATCAATTTTTTATGTTGAATGATATTCTATGATGTAACTGAACATTCACATACATATATATTTATGCATATATGTATAATCACAATTTTTCTATTCACATATCCATCAATAGACACTATTTTCTTGTCTTGGTTAATGTAAATAATATTTCAATGATTATGAGCATACTAGGGATAGTTATCAAAATTGTACAATGCAGCAGAACACAAAGGACAGAGAACTCAGAATTAAGTCTATTAATATATGAATATATATAAACTAATATTTGGCAAACATTGCAAGAATTAATATAGGTAAAAGGACAGTTCCTTTAATAAATGCTGTTGGGAAAACTAGACATTCATAAATAAAAGAACAAAATTGAATCCTTGTCTTGTACCACATAATATTAACTTGAAAATAGAGACTATAAAATTTACTACAAGAGCTAAACCTTCCAGAAGTAAACAGAGGGCCAAAGCCCCTTTTGTGGCCTTGAAAACAAAGCCAAAATTTTCAAACAACAACAACAAAATATAAATGAGTGAGGCTCTTGCCCAACTAAAAATGTATCTGTAGTTAAAAGAGATAATGAGAATATTTACAAACTCTGTGATCTATTCAATAGATAAGGAACAATCAACTCAAGAGCAAAAAATAATATTACCTGCTTAAAATTTGGCAAAATGTGGAAACAGTCATTGTATATCAAAGAAAACATAAATGTTTCCAACAGGGATATGAAACAGTGTCCAACATCATTCTTCATAAGAGAAATGAGTATAAATTGTCAAGTAATATTTCTTATGACAGGATGACTATTACTAAAAAGGTAAGAGATTAAAAAATGTTAGAAGCTGATGCTGGTGGCGCATGCCTGTAATCCTAGCTACTCAGTAGGTTCAAAGCCAGCCAGGGAAAGGAAGTCCAAGAGACTCTTATCTGCAATTAACTGCCATAAAACTGCAGGTGGAGCTGTAGTTCAAATAGTAGAATACTAGCATTGAGTGCAAAAGCTCAGGGACAGAGCCCAGAGTTCAAGCCCCAAGCCAGCCAAAGAAAAAAAAAGTGTTAGGGAAGTTTTGCAGCAAAGGACCCTTTGAATAGTGATGATGAAAAGGATGCAAATTGGGACAGACTTTATGGAAAATTGTGGAGAAATCTCAAAATAAATATAAGAAATCTGGAAGCTTGTAGAGCACACCTGTATTTCTAGATACTCAGGAGACTAAGAGCAGAGTATTGCAGTTCTAAACCCAGTGTGGGTATACAAATCAGAGAGATACTTTTCTCCAATCATCCAACAAAAAGCCAGAAGTGGAGATCAGACTCAAGTAGTAGAGCCCCAACTTAGAGTAAAAAAGCTAAGGAGAGCATGAGGCCCTGAATTCAAGGTAGTAGCACATTGCATATGGAAATTAAAATTTTATTTCTGGGGCTAGGAAGGTGGCCAGTGGTAGAGTTTTTGCCTTGCATGCATGAAGCCCAAGGTTCAATTCCTCAGCACCACATAAGCAGAAAAGGCTGGAAGTGGCGCTGTGGCTCAAGTGGTAGAGTGCTAGCCTTGAGCTGAAGAGCTGAGGGACAGCACCCAGGCCCAGAGTTCAGGCCCCATGACTGACAAAAAAGAAAAATTATTCCTATTTATGAGTGTATATATCCATAGAAAATTAAATGAACATTATTAAAGATAGAAAAAATGACACCATATCACCATCCACTTAACTAGGTACCTTTTAGATCTGCTTTTAGTTGTCACCCTACTGGATATCTTGAAATTTATCTGGAGATAGATTAACAAGATATGAGGTTAATAGACACAAAGGCAATTTTGTGTCTATTTGAAAGGTTCTTAATTATTTAGTTTTCAGAAAGGGGGAGATCCTATAGAGAGTCAAATGAAGAAGCGCAGGAGTTCCTCAGGAGGGACTGACGCCAAAGTGTGTGGGTTAGAAACCTACAATAGTTCCATGAAAGGAATCAATAAGGATAGAAGAGGATTCTTCAGCAACTTTATAATTTGACAATCTGAGAGAGTCTCTTGTCGGACACTCAATTGTATGTTGTCTCAGGGCGGGTAAAATAATAGCTTGGCAGGAGTGAGATACACAAGATGGCTGGAATGTGGAATCTGAATTGATTAGATATGTATGTTTGTATGTGTAATGGAATGTGATATTACATATAGGTGGATAAACAGGAAACAAAAGGATAATTAGTCAATAAGATAGATGATCAATAGATATGTAGGTGATGATGAGTAATAAATGATATGTAGATAGTAGGAGATGATAAATTATATGTAGCTAATAGATAGATGGATAGACAGGTGATAGGGATGGAGATGGATTTATGTAATTAAGCAAAAATCGTTCATTTTGGGGGGATGGGAGTTAAAACTTGAAATAAGCCTCTAAATTTGCAAGACAATTTATGCAGACTGGAAAGAGAAGACATCCTCTTGAAATAAATACATCACTGTCCTGAGGGTTTTTATTATCGAAGGTATTCATCAAGCATAGATATTAGTCCGGTGTATATGTTTTATTTTCAATTTTGATAATCATGTTACTAAAACTGTCAGCTTATCTGATCTGAAATATTTTATTTGTAACTTTAGTAAGTACCAGGAGCTAGAATTAATAAAATGAATTAAGATGTATTAATCTATCAACATCAAAATATGCTAAATATGGAGAAATCTGGGTTAAAATCAAGGCTACATTGGTTTATAATATTAAAAAGTAGTGCAAAAATTCAATAGAGGGGGAAAAATGTAATTTGGAGTAAGAACACCATATTCTGAAACTTGATGGAAGTTAACATTTGAATATGGATGAGGAAGCAGCAGTATTTCCAGGAAATAGGATTAGTGTGGTGATGTGTAAGGCATGAAGCTACTGCAGTTGTAGGAAGGATAACTGAATGGATTAGTTCTTGTTCCTCTCTGCCTCCCTTTTTCTTTCCCTCCCTTCTCTTTCTGCCTTTTACCTCTCTGTTCTTGCCTCTTTTTTTTTCTCTCTCTCTCTCACTCCCTCCTCTGTTCTTATGGTTTGTCATTTTTACCTTTTTTTTGACTGCCTGTTCTCTCTGACTCTCTCATACACACCATCACCCCCTGGTCAACTGCACTGACCTATGCATGCTTGTGTAATATTAAGAATACAGACTATAACCAGCATTGTCAATCTCTATAGCCCAAGTTTGTTTTTTTTTTAAATCAAATCTACCCCATCACTGCCATCAACCCAGAACACCTGCTTCATTCCAGTGCCTTCCTTACCTTCCATATACTGTCTACTTATCTTTGTCTTTCCTCTTTATTTTCTCAATTTACTTGTTCTCAGATCCAATTTCATACATCTCAGAAGAAGAACTAAATACAGAATGACCCTGCACACTTAATTCACTCATTTCTACAAGAAGTAATTCCTAAACATCTTTTCTGCTTGTCTTTACAGAGCCAAGTAGCAAATGCTGTAGTATATGAAGTAGAAAAATTGACTTTTTATTTAGAAGCTGGAAGTCCCCCTAGTAAGCCTATTAAGTGTGCTCACATATATGTATAGAATATGATGAGTGTAATTGTAGTAAGAAGCAAAATCTCCTGAGTATGTACATTGTGTCAGGCAGTATTTTGAGAACATACATTAATTTATGTAATTCTTTTAAAATTTCTTGAAGGAGAGACTGTTACTTTTCTCATCGATCTATTGTTTATCTACTTATCTATCCATCTTTGATAAGATCACATCCTCTCTCCCAGAGTTTTGTGTGCAGAGTGATTTTGCATGTCTTTCCCTCTCTTTAGATCCCTTTGGGAAGACAGATGAGCGGGAACCACTCACCAATGCAGTTCGAAGTGACTCAGCAGTCATTGGAGGTAAATCTTTCTTTGTTGCTGAAAACAGAAAAGATATACAAGATCTTCTACTTTGGAAAATATTATCCCAAACCTTTCTTATATATGACCATCTAGTACTCAAAACCACACATTTTGTGGCAGCCAGTGAACCTTTGCATGAATTATTATGCCTGCCTCATGATCAAAGGCACCCTCTCCCTCAAGCACCCATAGTTCTGTGAATTCATCCTGCTTCCCATTCATCAAGCAGCTGAACACTGAGTCAACAGCTGGCGTATTGACTTATAGACAGGCAGCCTGCATCCTGTTCAACTCATCCAGTTGTCACTTTTTCCATAGCTTGAACAAAGCAGCCCAATAAAACTACATATGGGGAAGAAGCCACATTGGGGCAGACAGATGGGTGAAGCTAGAGTCCTGGCGGGTTTTCTCTACTGAGTGATTTGAGTTAGATATAATGAACAGGGTGAAGCTCACAGGAATGTAATTTCCAAAGAAGCTTCCATATGGTTACAGATGCAGATCTTGTCTGTTCTCCAGTGAGCTCGACTCCTGCCTCCCTCCCTTGTGTTTCTGTTTCTCACTGCCTGGTGGCCTCACCACATTTTAATCCTGCCTCCGCTTAGCTGCTGCCTATAATAGCTTGATTTTCTTCACCTGGGTCTTGTAACGCAGAATGGCTCCCAAACCTTTTATAGTGGAAGATGCCAAGGGGAAGAAATTTATTTCCACTTGAGAACCATAACCCTGCACGTGCCCCATCTCTGCCTTCTGAATGCCTGAAGGAACTCATCCGCCACATGGAGTTCTCTTTCTAAAAGTCACAGTATCCATTTGTTTAACTTTCATTTAATGAGACCCAACTACAGGTCAGGACTGTAGTGCTAAGTGTAGAGCTACAGCATGAAAGATATAGGCATTTCCCTTCTAGAACTTGCAGCCTGTCTAGGGAGAAGATGGGTAAATGGACAGCTATGGGACACCAGTGAGGACAGTTCCAAGGATGAAGGTGGGAAGGAAAATGGAAGCAGAGGTGTGTCCTTACAGCGAGGGTGTGATTGAAGGTCAGAAGTGCCACTACCTTTCCTCTGGGACACATTTAAAATACCTTAGCTGAATTTCTGCTCCAGTGAAGAAGGCTGAACTTGATTTTAGTTGGTTAAAAAAGAAATGTCAGAAAGGATTTTGCGCTTGCTTCTCTTCCTGTAATTTTTTTCACTTGACAAGTGGAAAAAGACTTTTGTGACTTTTCACCACTCATTTGCAATCTCTCATGTCTCTCTGAGACTTGAAAAGTCCTCTGTAGGAAATTTTCCCCAAAGGAAAATTCCTGGAGGTTTGCATAGCCTCCGCCTCTGGCTAATCTATGCACTGAAGGGGGAGACAGGTTCGTCCGTGTTTTCAAGCTGTAGTCTATGGTGGGCGTCACTACCACTCATCCATAATTGGAAAACATGTTACATAATGATTTAGAAGCATATGCAAACTGCACACCATTTTAATTACAGTTCTAGCTCTGCAAAAATAATTAATGGATGACGTGCCATCAATACACTTAATTCTGCAATGTTCATGCTCATGTAAATCAAAATGGAAAAACAAGTATCCATCCAGAAGTTTCTAAAATGATAATTTTTAATCCATCATAGAGAAACAAACACCAAAGTGTCTAATTTATTAGGAATAAAAATATCTTTCAGTAACAAAAATACATTCAAATGTTTTGAGGCTGAAAATCTGTGTATTTAACTATGGATCCATTCTCTCACTACTGCGTGTTTCCTGCACCACACATTTGTTGGTAGTGGCTTTCGTTCTGAACACTACCTTGGCAATGGTTAGGATGAAACTCCAGGGTTAATGAGGTCCACCTGCAAAATACATTCATAAAGCCACTCAAAGTAAGGAAGAAAATGTAAGGACTATCAGAAGCATGCTAGTGCCAGCTCTGTCAATGGTGAATTCCTTAAAGAGAGATAAGTCCCATCTTTGAGTTAGCTTGTGGAGAGCAAAACAGAGTACCATTGTAGGAATTTCCTAAATTATGGGTAAACATTTTGTTTACAATGATTCTTTCATTTAAAGAAAAATATACCTATAATATCCAACAAGTTTACATCAGGAAAGCACATACTGGGATGTGAGCTATTTCCCAGGGTGGAAGTACAATTGTAATATGCAATACAGATGATTCTGACACTTCTGTTAAATCAGATATTTTCTATAATATCATCTGATCCTCTAGTTCCACATTCATGAGATTCTTAGGTGATTCAACAAAATCTTCCATGATTTAGCTGGCTTTCTTACCCAAAGAAGTTTTTGTAGTAGTGGAAAGCAGTAGGCTTAGTAGCAGAGCTTTATGGGCTGCTAGAAAGATTTTTCTATGTGTGTTTTCCTGTCTTGATGTGAAGGGTCTCTCTAGAGCGATGACCTGTGATAATTTTCTCTTTTTTTTACTTTTCTTCCCTGACTACAGGTGTCATTGCTGTGGTGATATTCATCACCTTCTGCATCATAGGCATCATGACACGCTTCCTTTACCAACAGAAGCAGACACATCGCACCAACCAGATGAAGGAGAAGGAATACCCAGATAATTTGGACAGTTCCTTTAGAAATGATATTGACTTGCAAAACACAGTGAGCGAGTGTAAACGAGAATATTTCATATGAAACTCCACAGGGTCACCCAATATTCCTTTTATGTTCTGTTTTGTTTTGTTTAGGTGTAATTGATTGTTAACTTTTTAATCTCCTTCTCTTCTCTCTGACTGTCTTTTCATTTTTGTCATTCACTTTATCTTCATTATTTGCCATTTCTTTTTTGGGGTTATACCTGCATTCCCCACAGTACCAATCCCGTGACCAAGCACAGGAGACTAGGCAGCAGTGACACTGCCTTTCCTTTGACACACACATCATGGTGAAAATGGCCACTTAAGACATTGATTTCACTATTCTCAACAAGGAAGAGGCACATGTGCACACTTTTGTGTTCCATTTTGTCAAATGCACTCTTTGGTTTGCTAGCCAGTCTTGCAGGCTTACTTTGAACATCTTCTTTGGTTAAGTATAGGCATTTAATGGTCATCCCTGACATCCTGTATTCCCTCTCAATTCCATTTCTACCAGGGAACCTAAGGCAGAGAGATATCAGACCTGGTATATTTGGGTGGCATTTTTATGAGGAACAAAAAAATTTGTTTATATTAATTTGATTTCCTTAACATCTATAACCCTTTGCCCAGACTCTCCATGCTCTTTCCTATGACTTCTATCCCTTGAATATTTTCCAAACTAGGCTTGCTGATAGTAGCGATAAATTACTTTGCTCATGTCTTGCTACAATTTCTTAGGGCCAGTAATGTAGAAGAGCTCACAATAGTGAAAACCTAGAAGAAATATGGACAGTATAGTTTGACACCAGGAGGTAAAGAGAGCCATGATAGGAAATAGATACAATATAACTTCAACAACTGACTCCTCCTAATTCCTGGGCTTATTATACTGAAGTAAAGAAATGTATACATATGTAAGTTGCTTCAACATAAATTCAAACACAAGTCTAAAATTATACCTGGTTTCATGGGGAAAATAAACTTAAGCCATCTTAACTCAGCTTTCAAAAATTGCAAAAGAAAAGTATGAAATAAGAACTGCATGAATGGAGAGAAATATCAAACTGAAAGTTCTTTCCTTCCATCCACTCATGAAAGATCTGCTGAAGAAAGGAAATGTAGATTTTACCTTTTAGAAGAGATACATAATACCCTTGCTTCTGTCCAGTGATCTCTTTTCTAATAGGCTTAGGATGAAGTGACTTAGATGGCACTGTGGTCCTCTCTAGCTGGCCTACTGCTAGATTTCAGGGAAACCCTTATGTTCTTTAGTTCAACACACTTTGTACTCTGCCACATGACATATACAAAGGCCACCTATGTACATATTTTTTTATTCAGTTACATTTCCAGTTGAAGTGGTGACAAATCTCAGGCTCTTTGCCACTTTGGCTAATAAGTCCACTATCCATCCCTTTAAGAAGGCATCTTGAACATATTCATGGGTGGGTGGTAGTAAGATCCTATTTATTTTGCTTTCAGTAACATGCCTAAATTTTTTGCACACACGCCCGCCCCCAGCCACCATGGAGTAAAATACAAGGGGAAAACAATTACAGGTAATGTGAAATGCCAATAGAATGATCCACACAGATGGAAAGTACTTGCTGAGTCTCTTTTCCGGGCAGATTTGATTTGAAAAACAATTACATCTCTCTTGAACAGCCTTGACAATCAGCAGACTATCCATCTTGTTCTCGGTGAGTCTCTGGCTTCTGACTTTTTACTGCTTCTCCTGCATGAGAAAGCTCCTGATGAAGAACTCATTAGTGTCAACCCACCTCAAGTCTATGGCTTTTTTTTTTCAGTTTCAGAACTCATGAGGTAAGGGTAAAATGTTGTCATCACATTCTTCTCTTTGAATATATTCTAAACACACTTTCTCTTCTTAAAATTCTCTGTGGATTCTTCAACTTCAGCATTTAAGATATATTTATCTTTTTGCTAGTAAATTTATTTTAAAGTGATTCTAATGAGGATACTTTTTAAATTTTTCTAGCTTTAATAAAATGGATGATCATTTAATAAAATGAAAGATCTTTAAGCATTATTATCCCCTGGCTTTTCTTCCTCTTTCTCTAATTTTCATTTTTTGAAATTTTCTAGTCCTATAAACGACTGTATAAAGCAACTGTTTGCTTGACTACAGAGCCCTTTCTTACCTGAAATAAAGGTCACTGTGAAGTATAATGGTTTGAGCCCTCATTATGTCCTATAATGACATGGGAAAAAAAGGAAGGTAACAATGCTGAAAGTCTCCCCTATTCAAGTCCCTGGAGCTGGAGGAGTGCTCATGTGGTAAAACATCAGCTTGTAAGTGGAAGAGTCAGTTCCTGAATTCAAGCCAAGGTCCTGAAATAAAAACAAAAACAAACAAAAACCAAGAAACCCCAAGTCCATGAGAAGTAAGGGCCATATTTAGCTGACATGATGCCAAAGAAGAAATGAAAGACAATAAAAGTGAACTCAGAGGGTTCGCTTTCTCATCCACTTCTACACATATAGGTCACCAGGTTGAGTGCACAGTGTTTAATGCTCAATTCTTGCCATGTTTTCATCCCAGACTCTGCTGACATTTTCCCTGTAAATGTGGATAATGCAAACCTAAATATGTGTACATGTGAAGACACTGCAATCTTCCTGTCACTGTTATAAGTAGTCTTGGGGGCTGAATCAGGATTATTTTCACAGGGTTGGACTATTTCATCATGCCAGAGAACACTCTGACTGCCAACAGATAGACCTAAAAAACAAGCATACTGCACTGTACAAAGGAAAACACCCAGTACAAACAGAAAGAAATGCTGGCTCTGCCTGCCTTTCCTTAGTACTACCAAGGTCCATTTAAGTTTCTGCATCTGTTCAATTATGTTTTTCAGATCCTGAACCATTTTTATAATCTAGAACTAGACATTGAGAGCATTCTAATCCTCCATTAACTACCCTTTTTCATGGTAATATTCAAGTTTCCCAACTGCATATTCTGGACTCCTTAATATGCATAATCTCCAATTTATCACTCAGTCTTTAAGAAGTGTGTTTACAGAAAGATCTTATGGAATACCATGTTACCGTAAAACTAGAAAGATCTGTGGAACTTCACACCCTAAAGACATTGTTTTGCGGATATTATTTTCACCAAAAAAAATCTATTTATGCAAGCAACAATGTATTTGCTGACCCTTTCTTTTTTTAACATCGATTGCAACATTCACTGTGTGTAGACTAGTTTGCTATGGTATCTTTGAGATTTCCTCTAGAGAAATAGAAATTTGTCATTTCCATAGATATATTTTTTCATGAAGAGGTTTGCTTAAAGATTTGTGTTAAGCATCCTGGCAGTGATATCTTTGAATTTTTGTTTTCAATAATAACAGCAGAGATATTAACATCCTGACTTCTATAATACACCATACAGGAAATAGCAGCAGAACAAAATAGATTGTTCTCTTTTCTTCAGTACTCATTTGCTTACTATTCCAAAAGCTGAGTTGGCTATTTTGTGTACAGTGTAAATTATATCTGGCTTTTACCATTGAATGGGTGTGTTAAAGTTTCAACAAAGACAATACATAGTGTTGAAAGTGTAGTAGGTGTGCAGGGCTAAGGAATACTGAAAGAAATACATAATTATTCTGTAAAGTACTTGCTACACATTTTAAGAAACCAACAAACTCATGGGAAAAATTAGAATTTTGTTTCTCATTTATTATTTTAACCTGCAATGGACTGCTTTGATTCTCCTCTTCAAAGCAAGGATCACCCATGCACATAGACTTTTGTAGAAGGAAGTGTATTGACTGTTTCACAATAGCAAGAATAAACAGTCTCTGACTCTGATATACTCTAGAGGAAGACAAATTCTGTGCATTCTTATCTGAGTTCAGCTTGGGTGATTTCAAAAGTCTTCCTTGGCAGGAGACAGACCTAAGTGAGAACTCAGGACCCTATTTAGCATAGAATCCAGCAGTTTTTGCTTCTGCTCTTCTCTTTGCTCAGTTCTTTTACTGCCATCCATATATGCTATTACACACCATTGATCTTCAATGTGTTCCTGAAGGTGGCATTGTGTTGGACCAGCACTTCCTACAAATATTCTTTGTGCCAAAGAAACCACTGGAGTGTACTTAGGGGAAAATCTCTGAGAACTAGATGAAATCTATCCTTAGGCAAATGACCAAATAGCATTCATCTAGGTGATTTCCTGCTTCTATGCTAAGGGTGAATTTCTTCCTGTCCTTGGAGTTCATGCATACCCTCTCTTTGAACTACATTAATTTAATGAAAGAAGCCACCATAGAGAAGAAAGTTGCAATCCAAGTGTCTTTCTCCAAATTAGGAGAGAGGTAGGAATTAGGTGTATGGAAGTCTTTATCTGAAAAATCCTTGGCAGCCTGTCTTCTAACTGCCAGGGCTACCACTGAATTCATCCACAGCTACCACCCATCAAACCTGTATTGTCACATCAACCACTGGTGAGGCTTTTGAGACAACTATCGTTCTATAATTTGTTCTTCCTTAAGCTGAAGTCTTGAGATGCTTCGTCCACAGTTGTCTTATAGATTATGTGTCGGATAAATAAGGAAATAGACTATGCTGTTTCCTTTAAGTCTGAAAGGAGGTCAATGCGAGGGGATGCAGACCGAGTCTCAACTTTAGAAATACTTGAAGGATGACTTAAGTGCTATTTCATGTCTCTCATGCAGTTTGAAAATGTTTTCTTTAAAAAACATGCCATGTAATTGAATTACTTCCATGTACCATTCTGGAATCTTTCCTAACTCTTTTTCATTTCAACACAGTCTTACTTAAGCCATCTAGTTTGGTGAATTTACTTGTTCTTCCTCTTGACTCTGAACTTACAAACTTCAAATAGTTGAACCACCTAAAGGGGACAAGGTGCAACACACACACACACACACACACATGCACACACACACACAAATAGGGCTGTTACTCAAGTATTCTCCAGAAATTCTACCTACATATCAGTTCGGTAGAGAAATATTATCTCTTTGTGTTGGCAATTATTTGCATCCTTCATATCTGGTTTTA